ATTGTCAAAGTCGAAGTCTGGGAACATCTTGTCCGGGTCAAACTTATCCATGGGCCCCACATACACGCATTGTCCGCAATCTGTGAAGCCAGCGTCCTCAAGCTCCTGGTCAGGAGCAGACAAGGAGCATGGTTGGTGGTTGCGTGCGCCTGCCAGCCCAATGCAAGCTACAGTCATGTTTAAGCTGGGGGCAAGTACTGTGTTCTGAGGCAAGCTCCTGTGGGATCTGCTGTGCCTCCTGTGGGATCTGCGTGCCTCCATCATCCCAGGACTCATCCTTCTCCTGCCAAAGTAAGCCAAGCTGATTCCTTGTCCCCATTACTGCATTCAGCAAGAAGTGTGCACCAGGGCTAGTGGTGGCCTATCCCAAACTTCATGAAACAGAGCGGGCTTACCTTTATTTCTTTCAACTTGGCAGTTGGTTCGTTCCTACAAAGACAGTCACTGAGTCATCCTCAGCTGCTGCCTGGGCCTCCTCCGGCGCTGCCTGGGCACATGCTCATCCAGGCATGGAAGGAAGGCAGGCACAAGGACAAGGAAGTGGCCTCCTCACCAACTGCAGAATCATCATCTGAATCAACTTCATACACCTGGCCACGCAAACAATGAATACCAGACTTTGGCAGCCCAGAGCCCCTGCCTTGTGCCTCTTGGCCACAGGCATACTCTTGGCAGCAGGTGCGGAAGGCCTCTTCTTGGAAGCAGGCTTGGTGGCCCTGGTGGCTGACAGTTTGCCACCAATGGGTGGAGGGCCAGTGGCTGGCTGACGCAGGCCAGAGGTGGCTTGCTGATGCAGGCCTGAAGGCTTGCTGGCCTGAGGCAAGCCTGAAGGCCTGCTGGCCTGATGCAGGCCTGGGGGCCTGCTGGCCTGAGGCCTGCTGGCCTGATGCAGCGAAGGCTTGCCGGCCCTCCAGGCCTGGCTCTCCACAGCCACCTGACTCTCCACATGCTACAACACTGAATGACAAGTGACAAGCCACATGTGCCAATGCCAGGCCGTTGACTGAACAAGGGATAGCACATGCCCCACCATCAGTGGCTAAAAAGTAAGTGTGTCATTAAAATTCTGCCACACACACACATACATGCACACACGCCTCGCCTCCTCAAACTGCTCCTCCGCAGGCGGCTCCTCATACTCCTCCCCATGCTCCTCTTCCAGATATTCCTCTGCCTGCATTTGAAAGGCACCAAAAAGCAAGCACCTGAGACATGCCAAAGCCTCTTGCTGCTCCTGCAATGCTAAGGCTCCAGTCCAGGAATTCCAGGCCTTTTGATGCTCCTTCCAAGAAGCACCCAAGAAACACCATCAAAGCTGTCAGCCAGTCTCAGTGTTTAACAGACAATGAATGATTGCTTACTTCTTCTCCCCAACACAAGATGACAAGGAACCAATGATGATGATGATGATGATGATGATGATGATGATGATGATGATGATGATGATGATGATGATGATGATGATGATGATGATGATAGTGATGATGATGATGATGATGATGATGATGATGATGATGATTAGTTATGATGATGATGATGATGATGATGATGATGATGATGATGACGGTGGTGGGGGTGATGATGATGATGATCTACTGAATCCCGTTCCTTTGCCTGTTGAGGCCGGGCAGGAGGTTGATGACCCATCAATGCCTTCTCCTTAGCCAAGCAGGACAAGGCTTCAGAATTGTGCCCTCAGCAAAGAAGTTCCTAGATAGGCAAATGCCAGCAGCTGAGAAAAGCACCAGCCGGTTCCTGGCTGCTCGCACTTGATCCTCAGTTAGCCCCCACACACACGCGCATTCTCTCTTTGGCACACGCACATTTATGACTGTCATGTTCTTGCCAATTTAGTCTGGCGTCTCTGGCAAGCTGGCAGGGTGGCTTCCTTCTTGTGCCAACCTCATTCTGGTTCTGAATGATGTAGAGGTTGTTCACATACATGGCTGAAAAGCTGCACAGCCAACAGCCCTTGAGCCTACACCTGCTGCATCACAGAGATCAAGCAACTTGCTTGCAGCAGCCCTGAACCACAACTGCAACCACATCTTGCTGGCAAATCCAAGAAAATCAAGAGGCATCAGGCTGTAAGAGAAGTGCAAGATTGCATGGGGGAGCTAACGATACAGAGCTTGCCAAAGGATGACGGCATTCACAATGGCACATGAGTTTTGATGAAAAGATAGCCCCTTACTGTTACCAGCAATTGTTCCTTGTCAAGACATATAGAACCCCCTGCAATAACATACACCCAAAATCAAGGCGCTTGGAATGCAAGGCGCTGTCGGCTGGCTTGTCTGGGCCCAAGGCAGGTTGGATGTCCTGGCACACCTCCAAGGGCAGCAGGCCTCAGCCAGAAAGCGGCCAGGGTGAGAGGCAGTGAGTCAGGGTTCCCTGCACCAAGCCCGTTTGGGTAGCAACTTACAGTTACATCAACTCAGGATTAGCTCACAAAGCATGTTCAGTGCACTGAGGATGGTCTGAGGCACCAACAGGCAAGCAACCTGAGCATGGCTGATGGAACCCCTCATGAAGAGGCTAGGGTGGGTTGCAGCCATGCCTTGGAAAGCCAAGGCATGGAGGGGCAAGGGTAAAGGATAGCTTGGTAGGTCAGGGGAGCTCAAGCTTCTGATTGCAGAAGCACTAGGCCAAACAGCATTTTGTTGTTGACATCAACGCTCCATTGGAATATGTTTTTGCAGCCATTTCACAATGACAGATTGTTTATGGACCAGCCCATGGGTACTGTCAGAATTTGAGCCTTGGCTGGGTGGCAGAAAAGCAGGTCAGACATCTCACCTGTGGGCTTGAACGTTTTCTTGTTGGAAACAGCTGCCATCAACCACACACACACAGAGTGTTCCCTGATTATCCACTGGGTTGTCCCTGCATCTTTGGTGCTGATTGAATTTCTTGGGCGGGACACTCCAAGACATGAGGAGCAATGAGTGCCCTGAGGGCTTAGCAAAGTTCCAGAGAAACAGTTGGCAGTTTCAAAATGCCTTGTGCAATACTGGAGGCTACCCAAATTCAGCAGTGGCCAGAACAGTACATTGCATTCACTTAGTGCTGTTTGGAATGGCATGTTAGCCCAGCCCTCTGCCCAGCCAGCCTTTGCACTGCCTAGAAAGCTGTGTGCAGACCTCAGTCAGACCTCAGTCAGTGTCTGAACCTTAGTATGCAGCAGGCTCCGCTCTGCTGGGACCTTAGTGAACTAAGCCTTAGTATTGCAGGGTTTGAGCCTTAGTGTCCTGCTGCCCCTTTTTGCGGCTGCTTTTATGGTTGACGGCAAGTGTGCAAATGCAGCATGGCTGCAAGTGAAAGCATAGAGCTGACTGAAGCTTCATTTCAATTTGACTTTTGGTGCTATGGTCAAATGGAAACTTAGGACCAGAAATTTCTGAACGCCACTACCCAGACACCTTGCAGCCTACACTTTGCCCACCTGCTCCCTGACAACTATACATGTCCCATGCTTGCAAAGTGTTCTTGTACATCCCTTCCTGTAAATCCAGGGCTCAAACAACCATGTGATGCATTTAAGATTAAAATTCACCATGAAGCTTTGGGATTCAGTTATTGCTGCAAGTAATCTTGTGCTTCAATGCTGCAAAGAGAGCCAATCACTATTTAGCTTCATGATGTTGAACAGCAAGTTTGAAAAAGGTGGCCCCAATGCGAATGACATCTCAGGTGATGAACTAGCAGGTCCTGTGTTTTCCAAATGGTTGTGCCCTCTGTGCTGGCAAGTACTTTTCAGTTGTTACAGTTCTAAAGCAAAGCAGGGGTATGGACCACTAGGCCATTCAATATTGCAGTCTTGGTGCAGGCTAAAGTGCCCCATGACCATCCTCCCTGTCTGGCCAGGCCTGCTTGGTCATCTTTACCACGTGCCCAAAAAAAAGGTGCGCTTTTCAGCGCTACCCGCTTTTCAGCGGTGCCTATGTTTTTACCCTCCCTCCCTCCCTGTGAACTGCTGCTCCAAGTATTCCATGAAGTAGTCCGAGCCACAGTGCAGGGGGTGGGCACAGGGAAGGGTTGGGATGTGGGCACAGGGAAGGGTTGGGATGTGGGCAGGCAAATGTAACTGCGGGGGGGGGGACATCCTTGGGGAGTGGGAAGTGAGACAGTTGGAGGGCATGTGGCACATGAAGAAAGGACACCTTGGAAGTGGGAGGGTGGGTGGAAGTGGGAGGGTGGGAGGGTGGAAGTGGCATGTTGATGAGGAATGATTGGCATGCCCTGCCCCCCCCCCAACCTCAAATCATGGGCAAACACTGGTATCTTAGAATGTTGGTGCCTGTATCTTAGTTCCATTTCTTCTGGTTTCATTGTTGTGCTCGGGTCGGATCCGTTTTGCCCGGAAGATGATGTGGGTTGTAGCTAGCTGAACCGGACATCCAGGCAGTATTCCTCTTTATTGAGACGACGATATGACCGAATATGAAGCGATGTGGCAAGACATGGGCGAGAGTCTCTGGACTCTCTTATTTTCCCGCAGGCAGGGGGGAGGACCGACCGACCTGAAACGCCTGCCCTCCGTTTGGTGTGCTTGGATGTTCGACCTACGTAGGTTACGTAGGTTACAAACCATGGAAGTCAGCTTCTCTGTTGTTGACTAGCGTTTCTTTTGTGTGGTTCTGTTCATTTTCAGTAGCGGGCTGCAAAAAAGAGTCAGCCGGCCCAACTGTCAGAACGCCCGACGGGAAATCTTGGGGGTGTATATAGTATACCTGGACCCTCAAACTACCCTTGAAACACCCCATAATTTTGGGGCAACAACATATTTGCAAGGGAAGTTTGAGGGTCCAAGCATATATATATATATGTGTATATATAAATACATATATATATATATACACATGACAATAGACATAGTCTAGCTGTAAACTAGGTCTTAGGTTGAGGCTCCAAGTGGCTGTTCTGTGAACAGTTTCCTCTGCGGTTGGAGGACGAATCTGCAAATCCTGCAGCGCAACGTCTTGGTGCGATTCAAGTCCATGACACAGCCGGGAGGCCAAGTTGACCGCCTCCAGTGGATCCCAGGAATCCGTTTCGCCACTCGAAAAGGGGAACTCACACATTGTCCTTTTGGTTCAACCCAAAATGGAAGGACCATGGAAGTCGACAACCTTCCATTTCCCTTTTGGGCTTTGCTTGGTCCCCTACGAAATATGAATCCATCGCGCTTTCCCGTGGCTCCCTCCACTGGCCCATCGGCTCAGGTTCCTGGCGGAGCACCACGGCGCGGTGGCGGAGGAGGTGAAGGCCCACTACGTGGGCACCATGAGCGCGGGACTTGAAGCCTGGGGAAGTTTTTGGCGGTTTTTGGGTCCCCGGACCCTCAAAGGTCCCGACCGAAAAAGGGGAAACTCATGGGCTGAAGTACCTTTTGTGTATGTGAATTACGTGTTTTTTTCCGGGAAATTGCTCAAAATCATGGGGTGAGTTCCCTTTTGTTTGGATTGTTTGAGGGTTCAGACCCTTTTTGACTGGAGCCCCCAAAAATGGCCCAAGACCCAAGGAACCTAGGTTGAAAGTCCAGGTTTTGGTCTTGTGATGGTGGTGTTTCTCGGGTTGAAAGGGTCTCCAGCTACTTCAACCTTTAGGGTGTAATTGCCAGATTGGGGGGTAAGTCTCCGTGACTCATGTCAACTTCAGATTCAATGGAAACAAGGTCAATCATTTTCAGTCCACGCCCCCCGTTTTACAGGTACTGATATGGGTGTGCCTGTGTGTGTGTGTGTTTCTTTTGTGCGCGCCGTTGCCAGGTAGCTTGACAGGACACCAAAAGGAAAGCCACCATTCGTTGGGTCCCCCCGCCAAATTAGGAGACACTCATGTGGTGCATGGCCGTTCAACGATTCAATACGACAGGGTGTTGTTGTCCAACCTGAAGGAAGGTTGGCAACCATGTCCGGATGGGAAGAACGCACATCCCTATTTGCAGTCTGAAAATATGGGTCCGTCTCAAGAAGAACACTTGGTTTCACCAGGATTGGTGTGAAGGGTGGGCAGGGTGGGTTTATGGAGAGTTTGGGGTAGGTGGCTTTTGGGCGGATTTGGGGTGGGTTTGTTGGGTGGGGTTGTAGGGGTTGGTCTAGAGGTTGGTCTAGAGTTTAGTTGGCTTAGGGTGGGGCGAAGGTGGGCGTAGGCGTGTTTGGTGTTTATTAGTTAAGTTGTTTGGTGTTGGTTTGGGGAGGGTTTAGGGTGGGTGTAGGCCGATTCTCGCGAACTTTGAGTGTCAAGTGCCGAGTGCTTGCTCCTGTCCTATATGAGTTTAACATGTGCCTTACATGAGCGACTACAGTAAAGGCCGGGCGGAAGAACATTTCGTGGATAACATACTGAAGAGGTGCAAAACGAGGCAGGAACATAACATATAGGTGGTTGACATCACAAACACATGCGGCGTTGGAGAACGGGGTCAATGAGCCCAAACGGGTGCAGGATTGGAGAACGAGCTGGGAACACCCGACTCTCCAACCATGTAGCAGAGAACTGCCGCAGCTTCACAAGTATCTACATGTAGATGTTATCCTCCATTTGCTTAAGACTATTTCATACTTTCCTACAGGGGACTGAAGCAAATGGATGCTATTTGGAAGCTCTGCATGTCTGATATTCGCAGATAAGCCTCAGCACAGCACCGAGCTTGTCCCCCTCCACACGCATCTTGAGGTGCGGTGTACCTGAAGCAGCCACGCACCCGGAGTCAGACTCCTGCCTCGCGCGCTGGACCCTCCAAAAAGTGAACTCCAAAAAAAGTCCAGCCATAAAAAAGGAGAAAAAAAGCAAACGAGCCACCATTGGTAGCCATGCTGCGAAGCTGGTATCGAAGCGATCCAACGTGCTTGGAGTTGGTTCGGAATGTCGAGGTTCCGCACCTACGTCACCTCTCTGCAGAAGTTGGAGCTGGAGTACTCACCCACCAAGGTGGGCGTGAGCGAAGCTGGGGTCAGGGCACCAAAAGCGCTTAGTAGTGGTTGAACACTCCACAAAAACCACAAGCCCAAGAGGGTTTTAAATCACTCACTTCGTAAGCAAAAAGTTTGGACATGTTTGTGGCCATCCACTCAGGAAGTGAGATAACCATGGTGACTGAGCACTTCCTAAGTAGAGTCACGCCATCGCCGATCGCCCCATAGATCGGCAGGTTTGGTCCTACGTTTTCTTGGCCTTGCAAGTATACGCCATCCATTGAATGCGGCTCAGCATTTCCCATATGCCCATAAGTTTTGAGATCTTTCACCCCGCGGAAACGTGATGCTTCCAAACCCGAAGCAGGAGACGGGAGCAACTCCCGCATGTTGAGTGGGTGTCTTTGTTTCCGTTCGATGGTTTGAATGTCAAAGGCAGGATTTCTTGGTGATACTGGATGTCAGCGGACACATGAGTTGGGAACCCCTCCAGGTAGCTGGTTTCCTTTGGTTGCCTTTTGAAATCATCCATCAAGGGGTCCCCGATTTTGAGACACACCCACATGAGGAGACTTGAGCAAATGACTCACAGTTGGGAAGGGAGGCTTTCTCAATGTCATTTCCGTTCAGGCACAAAATGCAGGAAGATTAAAGCCCCCAAATGAAGAAGGGGCCAGTAAGAAGAGTGCCAATGTTCATTCAAGAGTGGTTGGTGTTTGCAAAACTCATGTATTTCGGATGCCCAGTAAGAAGGGTCCTTTTTTTTGGTTTTCTCCGCCGCAGATTAGCATGAACCCGAACACCACCTGGGTGTGATTTGTTTTGTATCGAGGGTACTCTTTTCGGCGTTGGTTTAAAGGGACACCAACAGGCAACCACCCATTCTGATGGTGCCGTCCACAGCATGTGTTTAAGCATGGTTTGCCCAACCCTGGTTCTATCGATGGTTGCTACCCACTGAATTGAACGTGGGTTTGTCTGTTTTTTGAGGGAACTCCCAAAAGGCTGTTGCGTTTTCCTTTACAACCACCAAAACAGGGGCACCCTCCAAAAAACGACACAAGCCACGTACCCTACCCTTAGACCGCACGCGTTCCCGGCGCAGCGGGTGATCCCGCCGCAACCGGCAGTCCGACCTGCTGGTGAACGAGCAACCATCCGCAGGCTGGAGCCAAGAAATAACGGCGACCTGCAGATTGCGATCGATTGGGCGTCCAAAACTTGGCGGTTCCCAGCCGTCTTCGGCTTCTAGGGTTGATGTTTTAGGTGTTTAGTTGGTTTAGTGGGGGTGTCCATTTAACCCACAAGTTAGACTTTTAGCAGGGGATCAGAAAACAGACAGCATCAGATTCAGTCTCCTTTTAGCATTGCCGGACTCAGATGACCTTTGCAACTCTTTTCCGTTTGGGCTTCTCTGAAGTTTCCCTTTCAATCACCAGCCACTTGATTAAATAGTCAATTAACCAGTTGTCTGGCCCAGCATGTCCAAAAAGGAACTGGCTGTCTTTTGGGACGCATGTTAGGTGCAACTCCCAGTGCCAGTGGATCCCAATTACCCCGGTAGTGGTTCCTTTTGTGTTTTTCTTAAGAGTGGTTCTCTTTGGTTGCCTGGCTGTGGGTCAAAACCAATGGTACCAATTTGGGGTAGGTGCACCACCCATTTTAGTCTATTGTTACTGGGGATTGGGATGTTCACTGGGGGTACGGGATTTTGACCCATGGCCACCTACTGCACAGGGAAATGCCATTGCCGGAGTTGCTTGAATCTCTGTTGCTGTCAAGGGCGATCCTCGATGTTTGTGCCCATGCCAAGTTGACTGAACGCCCACCGTCATGACTCCGGATGTGTTGTGAACAGTGCCTGAAGCAAAATCGCCTGGAAGTTGTCTTAAGAGTCAAGGACAGTTCTTGAGCAGCCCCAGAGCCAGTCCGGAGGTTTTAATGAGGGATCCCCACTTCCTCCCTCTGATAAGAGCCTTGTACTTGGTTAGGGATGGTGGATGGACATACTGTGGATGGACAAAATCCGTTCGCTCCACCGTTCAGAAACCTTGGAACGATGACTCCTCTGTAAATACTGCCAAACAATGGTTGCAGCCATGGTCTCATTTCGTGGCACGAACTGGAAAATGGTCCATCCACAGTAGGAATTTGGACAATGCTGTACAGAGCCTTCGATCCATTTTCCGGTTGGCTTTTAAGTGGGAAACCCCTTGCTTAGCGACAAAACCATGGAACTCGAACTATTGGGGTGGTTATACACGCCATGTTCCCTTGCACCTTGATCTTCCAATGACCCGCAAGACCAGGGTCCTCCTCTCGAATTTGCTTTTGCTTCAAAAACGATCATCAGCCCAATTGCCCCGCTTTTTGAGTGTCCTGGAAGATCAAGGCTGGTGTTCCTGGAACGATTGAAGAAACCCAGTCAGCTAAGTTTTTCAATGGGGGGATCTGTTTTTTTTTGTACGTGCGTGTTTTTAAAGACCGTGTACCTTTTCTATTTTTTTTCTGGGGGGGGGATGGAAAGCCTCGCCACGGAGGCCGGCTCTGGGACAACTTGGGCCTCGGCCGGAGCCCGGGGGCCCAACTGGGTCAATCACGTGCTGGACACGTGCCGGACTTTGTACTTGGGAAGACGAGTCTGGATTGATCCGACTTTTTGTGGAATCCACTGAAGTGGAAAAACAGGGGGGTCCAGTGACTTTTATTTGGAATGAATTGTCTTATTTGTTTTGTGGGGTTCAAGGGAATCTATCACTATTAGCACCCCAACAGCTGCTTTTTGGACCAAGTAGGCGCTGAGTTGATTCCGGGCGCACATGGGCTGGTTGCTGTTGGGCTTTGGTGAGGGTTTTTGGTTCCTTTCGCAAACACGAGTTGCACATCATGGTGGCACTGGTGGCACAGTCAATTTTCAGAGCGGGGACCCCCTCCCCCAAACCCAAATCCGGCCGTTTGGTGAGGTGTGCAGCTGAAGGACAAGGGCAATGTCTTCTCCCTGTCAGGCTGGGCGCTTCGGACACGAAGCATCCCAGCTCCGTCCCGAGACATGGCCTGCTTTTGATTCGATCCCCCAACGTATTTTTTTGCGACCAGCAGACCGCACCCCAGCTTTATCTCGAGATATGGCCAGCTTTTGTTTTGATCCGTGGAAGTATTTTGCTACCGGACCCGTCTTCAGAGGGCTTCGATTCTAAAGGCGCTTGTACCTCTGGGACTATCTTATTGCTCACAGGAACTCAGGAAGCTCAGGAGTTGTCTAGGTCCCCCAGCTAGCTGCCCTTTCTCACCCCTTTTTTGATTGGGAGGGTTCCCCTACTAAAATAGACTACAGACGAAAGTTGGTACTGGTACCCTGATTCTAACCTCTCTACTGGAGGACCTAGTTTTGCTTGTACCCAAGAACCACGTACCTTTTGTTTTTGTTCGCATGAACTCTGGAAGTTCTCCGCGTTTTGTCTGTGGATTCTGCCGCCGCCCTCAGCGTTCTGGCTTCATGTGGCCCGCCCATTCCTTTAGGCCAATCGACCTATCGCATGGCAGAGGTATCAATCCATCGGGAATCTTAAGCAGTAACCTTCAAGCAACGCTCCCAGAAAGTCTCCCCCACTATCCTGTGGTCTAATTTGCATGCAACGCAAAACAACCACTCTTGAGGGCACCGAATTGCCGCCAACCCTCAGAAACTCCCGGAAATGTTCCCCCACCCCAAAAAGCGGAGTCCACCTCCCTCAACAAAAACTCCACCCCCCCAAAAAATATCTATAGTGAACACCCCCTTGATTTTTCCATCACCCCCCCCCCCCCCCAAAACAAAAAGAACAATATAAAAATAAGCCATTTCGGACACCCCCCCCCTTTTTGTCCAGTCCATTTTTTCCGGACTTGCCACCCTCCCCCGCGCCCCAAAGCCGCCGCCGCCGGCCGATGGCGGCGCCGTCTGCGGCGCTGGTGGTGGCCTCCTTCGCCACGGCGCTCTGCGCGGAGTTCGCCGGGGCGGCGCTGGGCTTTGGGCCGGCCATCCTCTACGAGCCTTGGGGGGGGGGGTAGGGCTGGGGGGCGGGGTGGGGCTGGGGGAAGGTAGGGGGAAAGGGGCTTGAAGGGGAGGGAGAAGGGTGGCGGGGCAGGGGGTGTAACCAAACGGTTTCCCATCGTTTAACAACCGAAATGGAGATGAATCGAAGGGATACAAAGGGAACTGGGACTGGAGGCGCAAGGGATCCAAGGCATTAGGGGTATATCCTAGAGCGGTCCGAAAAGAAGCTTGGGTGGGGCCGGGGAGGGGCTTGGGTTTTTCCCCGGTGGGAATACCTAGTTTCATTGAGGTCATTTCATGAGTGCATCTCAAAGCTCCCAGAAGTGGTGTCCTTTCGGTTTTCCTCTAGGTTCCAAACACACGTTCACCTTTACGACCATTTTGGTAGAACCACAAGTCAGCGTTTGTGCTCATGTGCTGTCCCTGATTTTTGAGGACACCTTTTAGAGGGAATCCAAAGGAAACCAAAAGAAACCCAAAGATAAATCACCAACCCACCAAAAGCACCAAAAAGCACCGCGAAAAGCACAACCAAGCCAAACCACCCAAAGCAGCACCGGGAAAAGCGCGGCGAACAGCACCACCAAACCGAACCACCCAAGAAGCACCACCAAACCGAACCAACCAAAAAGCAAAGCCAAGAGCACCCCCAAAAAGCACCGCCAAGAGCACCCCCAAACCTCCTTCTTTTTAGGGAGGGGCATTTTGAGATGGCTTCCACTGACCCCGAGCCGCACCACCCCGAGCCGGGGACCCAAAGCACGAGGCTTCCCACAGCCCACAATCTGAGAGGAGATCTCGTGGCAGATCTGTGGCCTCTGCGGCCTCAGCAGCGGCGGACTGGAGATGGCAGCAGGGGGGCCCAGGGTTCGGCCGGCCACCTGTCTGCTGTCAGGTCTAGGTCCCCTAGCTAGGTGCCCCTTCTCTACCCAACTTTTTGGGTTGGGAGAGAATCCTCGTGTCTAGAATAGACAAAACTGAATAAAGCAAGGGTACCAACTTAATCGAACCTCTCAAATCTGGAAGACCTAGATGTACTGTTTTGGAGTTGGTACCTTCTTTCTGGTGGTGCAAAAAGCCGAGATCCATGTTGGGACCCGGTCCCCTGGATAAAGGCCGAGCCACCCATAGGTTGTTTCACCAGATACCAGAGGAGGTCAGGGATAAGATCAGCCGTGGTTAGTTTTCTGGGTGTCTCAAAGGGATTTGGAACCCCAATGGCTGCATGAGCGCATCGCCCCCGTTTTGGACCTTTTGGAAACAAGTCTTTGTCCGTCAAGAGGCCTAACGACCTTTTGCTCAGGAAAGCTGCGAGCAACCCAGCCCCAAAATGAACCCGTTTTCCCTGCGGCTTCCCTTATAAAGCGACTTGAAAGGGGTACCAAGTCAAACAAAGCTCAGGTGGTGAACACAGAGTTACATGGCTTGCCCCAATGGAACTCCCCATGTTGTTGCTTTTTTTTGCGCCCGAAGTGGCGGATACAGGCGGATTACCGCGGCGGATTAGGGTCCATTCAACCTGCGACTTGGGTCCATAGCCATCCGTTTCAATCGCTCCACCGGGCCGTTGCTTTCCGAGCCGATTTGCCCGTTTTGCCATGACCCGGTTGGGCCGTCTACGTGGCGTTTTTGCGCCTAAACATCGGGGAGCCGAATTTAGAGGGCTGTAATTCAGGTAGGCAAGGCTTCTTTCCTTCTTTCCTCGTGCCCGGCCTGTTCAGGCATGTTCAATCCAATCTTGTTTTTCACCTGCAGGTTGTTTCCGCACAAAGGAGACCGAGGCCTTGGTCCTAAGAGCCAAACGCCTCCTACCTTTATTGGCATAGTTCATTTCTCCTCTGAGCCTTGCCAACAGAAGCGGCTTCTACTTTTTGACCCCCACGGTTGATAGTAGATATGAGCATGGTCGGTGCACATGTTGTACTTCTCATTTCCCCAAAGCCGACCTTTTGACCTTTTGGTTTTCCCATTTTGGTCCATTTTTAGTAAAGGTCCCAAAAGGTTAACCTTTTATTTCCAGGTCCTTTGGGCAAGTGTGACTTATGTAGTCTGACATGTTACACATGTTGCACCTGCTGCAAACTGTGTCAAGCCTGTCAGACCGCTGGTCGTCTAGCCACAGTCGCCGATAAGAAAGGAGCCTGAGTTGGGTTTCCCTTTAGAACAATCCAAAGGCTCCATTTTTCGAAAGTGAATCTCTGGAGCATGTACTGGTGTGTATTACCAGTGTCATATGTCTACGCGTTCAGAAATATGTGCAATTCGCGTTTGTGTGTTGACTGTGCTTGTTTCAGTTCCCGACTGATGGAGTTTGCTTGTTTTGTTTTGTTTGCTGTATTTGTTATATTTGTGGATTTTTGTTTATGTATGTATTGATTTTGTTAATTTATTTATACACAGTGGCGCACTTGTGACATATGGTGGTTGTTGTATTGTATACACCTGTGTGTGTACCCCTACGTCGAACAATTAAAATGAAAATAAAACAAGAATCGGACAATAGCAACGCCAACCCAACATGCAGCATGTGGACTTCTTGGTGGATATGCCTGCAAGACCAGGCAAACAAAGATATCCCAACCATTCAGGTTTCCACACCAAGCTCGAAACAAGTGGTGGTTTGCATCAGTGTTTATATATCTGTGTGAAGACAGGCAGGTGGCAGGTACGTATGTGTGCTCTTGTTCCAGAAAGCGATTCAACGTCAAACACCAAGCATATATTATACATACATACATACATACATACATACATACATACATACATACATACATACATACATACATACATACATACATACATACATACTTACATACTTACATACTTACATACTTACATACTTACATACTTACATACTTACATACTTACATACTTACATACTTACATACTTACATACTTACATACTTACATACTTACATACTTACATACTTACATACTTACATACTTACATACTTACATACTTACATACTTACATACTTACATACTTACATACTTACATACATACATACATATACATACATACATACATACATTACATACATTACATACATTACATACATTACATACATTACATACATTACAAACATTACATACATTACATACATTACATACATTACATACATTGCATACATTGCATACATTACATACGTTACATACGTTACATACGTTACATACATTACATACACTACATACACAACACACAGTACATACATTACATACATACAAACAAACAAACATACAGGCAGGCAGGCATGCATGCAGTACATACATACATACATTATATTACACTACACTACATTACATTACACTACACTTCACTACACTACACTACACTAGGCTATACTACACTACACTACATACATACATTACATACAGTACATACAGTACATACAGTACATACAATACATACATTACATACAATACATACATTACATACATTACATACATTACATGCATGCATGCATGCATGCATACATACATACATACATACATACATACGCCCATACACACATACGCACATACATACATGCATGCATGCATACATGCATACATGCATACATGAATATGTTTCATACGTACATACATGCATGCATACATACATACATGAATAGATCCAGACGTGCCCCACAAAGCATTCCAAAAGCTGAACCAAGCAGTGACTTCCCGTCAAGCAAGGATATGATGCTGTTTTGCATCAATCAAGGGGCTGTTTATGCGTGCTACTTGGATTTGTGTTTACGCATCTCTCTCTCTCTCTCTCTCTCTCTCTCTCTCTCCATCTCCCCCTCACATACATATATACATATAGAAACGTGTGTATGCATATCGAGAAAACAATGTAAAGAGCGATCGGGATGTAAAAACAATAATTTATTCACCTTCGAAACTGCTCGTTTCAGCGCCTGAAAGAACCACGACAACAAACATGTGTCTCGTCCTTTTTAGCACCTGGAGTAAATGGACAAAATAGCAAATGTTCTCCAAGAAGCACTTCAGCACGATCGAACTCCGCCACGAATTCATCCCTTTTGACTGCCCGAGGATTGTGACTGGGGCTGGTTGGCGATTTCAGCACCCAAAACCACCATTGGCCATTTTACCTTTCGGGCAACAAGCCAATGTGCAATATACTATGTATATATTGTACATATATACATGATATAGCAACCCAACGCCTTTTGCAAGAAATGTATATATGTATATAGATAGACATAAATATAACCCAAAGCCTTTTGTTTGTGTTTACAATACCCCTCCCCCACCCTGCAGTTTCGTCGAAACAACGCAATGCCTTTTGTAAGATAATACATATATATATATATATGGTACCCCCCCCAAAACAACCCAGGTTTTGTGAGAAAACACTGTAAACACCAGTGTCTTCTCACAAAAACCTGCATCTGCCAGAGCACACACTTTTCAGGCCCACTTTCTCCATCTGTCTCATTTGGCAGCCAATGCTGCAGCCAAGCACTATGATTGCGTAAGGGCATCTCTTCAACTCTCTGGAAACTAAAAAAACTGAAAAAGGATTCAGGGGAACATGGGGGCTGCCCCCCCCCCCCAGGCATGTCCCCCTCAATCCTTGGTTCTTCTGATTTTTAAGGTTTTTTTTTTTTTTTTCTCCGATTTTTTCAGTTTTCTCCTAGCATTCACCTTTATTATTCCCCTAGTATTGTCTGAGCAACCAAGCACTATGATTGCGTAAGGGCATCTCTTCAAGGAAGCTCTCTGGAAACTGAAAAAACTGAAAAAAGCTAAAAAAACTGAAAAACCAAGGATTCAGGGGGACATGGGGGCTGCCCCCCCCCCCCAGGCATGTCCCCCTGAATCCTTGGTTTTTCAGTTTTTTTCAGTTTTTTCAGTCTGTTTTCTCCTAGTATTCACCTTTATTATTCCCTAGTCTTGTCTGAGCAACCAAGCACTATGATTGCGTAAGGGCATCTCTTCAAGGAAGCTCTCTGGAAACTGAAAAAACTGAAAAAACTGAAAAAAACTGAAAAAAACTGAAAAACTAAGGATTCAGGGGGACATGGGGGCTGCCCCCCCCCCCAGGCATGTCCCCCTGAATCCTTGGTTTTTCAGTTTTTTCAGTTTTTTTCAGTTTTTTTCAGTTTTTTTCAGTTTTCTCCTAGTAATCACCTTTATTATTCCCCTAGTATTGTCTGAGCAACCAAGCACTACGATTGCGTAAGGGCATCTCTTCAAAGAAGCTCTCTGGAAACTGAAAAAATGAAAAACAAATATAATAACAACAACAACAGAAAAAACAAGGATTCAGGTGGACATGGGGGCTGCCCCCCCCAGGCATGTCCCCCTGAATCCTTGGTTTTCATGTTTTTGAGTTTTTTTTCAGTGTTCTCCTAGTATTCACATTATTACTCACCTAGTATTTTCTGAGTATTCCCCTAGTATTGCCCTAGTATTCCCTTAGAATTCTCTTGGTATGCACCTAGTATTTCCTAGTAAGGGAAGGGGAATACTAGGGGAATACCTTCAGTATTGCCCTCGTATTCCTTAAATATTCTCTTGGTACCCCTAGTATTCTCTCAGTATTCTCCTAGAATTCTTCCAGTATTCACCTTTAGTATTCCCCTAGTACTTCCCTAGTAGTGCCCTAGTATTGCCCTAGTCAGGAAGCCTGAGAAAAGTCACACATATTGAGCTTGAGAGTATACCCCTACTATTCCCTCAGTATTCACTAGTATTCTCCTTTAGTATTCCCCTAGTATTCCCTACTTAGTATTGCCCTAGTATTGCCGTAGTATTCCCCTAGTATTGCCCTAGTATTCCTTTAGTATTCTCTTGGTATACCCCCAGTGTTTCCTCACCACCCCCTTAGTGTTCCCCAAATAGTTCACTAGCAAAGGAAGGGAATGCTAGGGAATATCTTCAGTACTATCTAACTAACTAGGCAGCTAAATAGATAACTAACTGATTAGCCAATTAACTAGCTAACTTGGTTTAGAGCTAATTCATTACAGCTAGTTACTAGTTAACTGACTAATTAGTTGACTTGCTGACTGTTTATTTTCTAACTAATTGAACTTGCCAATTTTTACTGCTTGAACTTGAAAAATATGCGTTTCGCAGAGGCGAAAATACACATGTTTCTCAAAAGTAGCATTTTTCCAGTGATTTTGGCAATTGTCCAGGTTCAAAACCTAGGTTTTGGGAGGGGGGGGGTAGCATATATATATATATATATATGTATATAGATCTATAAACCCAGTGCCGTTATTTGTTTGCGTTTCCACACACACACACACACCTTGACTAGGTCCTCCAGCAGAGAGAGGTTAGATTAAGGGTACCAACTTTTGTCTGTAGTCTAGTTTAGTAGGGGAACCCTCCCAACCGAAAAAGGGGTGAGAAAGGGCACCTAGCTGGGGGACCTAGTTGAGGTTTGGTCGACTGAGGTCTTCCACATCTTGGTGCAGGAGCTGCCGTGCGGCTTGCTGCAGCTCCTGCTGCTGCGAAGCTTTTGGCGCCCGCGCTTGGCTGCGCTGCTGAACCTCCCGATGCTGCCGCGCGGATGGGGATGGGGGGTGGGGGGTGGGGGTGGGGTTTTGAGTAGCCTTGATTTTTCTTTGGTTTCCAGCAACAAAGGTTTAAAACAAATTTGCTTTTCCTAAGATTGTTTTTGTCTATGATCGGCTTCCCCTCAAAATGGCAAGAGGTTCCCTCCTTTCCAAGCGATTTAATTTTCCTATACAGTAGGTAAGCAAGGGAACCCCCCTTGAAATCCAACAGGACAAAGGTGAAGTGAAGTAGTATAGTGGCTTGCCTGGGATCTACTGCATTTGGCTTCCCGCAAAAGATTTTGGTTTTCCCCGATTGTTTTATCTATGTTCGGCTTTCCCTCAAAGTGGCCAGAGGTTCCCTTTGGTTTCCCGTCAGCAACCCCCTGGCAATTAGTAAGGGAGCCGATTTGCAAACCGATGAACGCGACTAGTGCCTATTCGCAAAATCCTACAGCTGGTGCCTGTTCGCAAAATCCTACAGCTGGTAGATGCTGTACAGTATTTGGGTCATTTGCGTGAAAGTGCCCGTTTGGTTGCGAACAAATGGCAACCAACAGGAAAGCCAAGATGTTTGAGGCTCCGATTCCATCAGTGTGGATGTGCAATATGGCTCTGAACCAGCGGCACCGGCTTCAGGTCCCAAGTCTGACAGACTTGGCCCTGCCCTTTCTTGTGGCTTTGTTTCAACAGGGGACCCGGAACCCCCCCCCATTTTGGTGCGCTTTCCTTTTCGTGTCCCTTTGAACCAACACGCCCGCGCAGAACCTACAGTTAGTAGCCCAAGCCCTTAGACTCTGCTCCAGGCGTGGTTTGCCCTTGGTTTCGACCAGTCAAAGTGGTTGCTGTCCAAAGGGAAAGCCCTGGATTCATATAAGTCTACTTTGGGATTAGTCAGAAAAAGGAAAACCCGACTCAGGCCATCCGCGCACCACCGCCCAAATGCATAGAGCATTGCGCGACTGGGGACGGTAGGAAGTTGGCATCCGCTGTTGTCCGTTGCTAGGAACGCTTGCGAATGGATAATTCCCCAAACATATCGCAAATTTGGGGCTTCAGTATGCACAAGTGCAGTATTATATTGGACAAGAAAGAGGCATTGTGCAGATTTCTACTGGTTGTTGTTCACCCAGGGGACTTACAACCATGGCAAGTAAGGGACCACCACGGTTGCTCAAGAGGCCGGCTACTTGGTAAGTGGTTAGTACAGCTGTACTAGCCACTTCCTAAGTAACCGAGCTGCCCCAAATCTCTGCTTGACTACTGCAACAAAAACAGCATGTTATCTTCCGGAACGTAGCATGAAACGAAACAAAGCTCGCAACGAACATGAAAGAAGATCCAAAGCGAACAACCAGCGATCAACATTTGGGTCGCCGTACGCGCCAGCCCGCTCGGTCTGAAAGAAGTCGCTTGCAACGGGTTTTTCGCTGGGAGCGCTTGCGGCAAGGCTCGCATTGCCCGTGGGCACCGTGCTGCTGGAGCGCTTCGGGGAGTCCCCTCTGGCCAAGCAGGCGCGGCCCGGCTGCTGAGGCTCCCGGGGCTTTCAGTTCCATTCTTTCCAGGGATCCTTCTTTCCAGCAAAACCTCACAAAACCCAGGGGAAAACGGCCGGTGTTTAAAAAGAGCGATGGTTGAAAAGAATGGGAATCAAACCCTAGATCAATAGACCCGACCCACCGATGAAACGCCCCAGAGGTGGCCAACCTTGGGTCTCAAAACCAGGCAATCGGGAGCCTCTGGGTGTGTGAAATGTGCTCGAGGGTAGCCTTTTTAGGGGGGTTAATTTCAACGGAAACCAAAGGAAACTTCCCTTCATTGAGGGTTTTCTCCAAAGAATACAAACCCAAAGGCCGAGCGCGCTGTAAGCCGAGCTCAGTGAAGCAACCGTCGGTTTTCCATGCAATCTTCCACAAAGCCTTGCTTCAAAGAGCAAGCCCAAAAAAGGTACCCTAAAACGACACTTGTTGGGACTCATGAACAATGGAACTTAGGCGCGCTGAAGCTCAATCCTTTGACCCAAATCAGCGGTGCCCTTTTTCAGTGGTGTCACGTTTGGGGGCGCTCGAGCATTTTTGGTCTGGCGGTTTCCCTGTGACTCATTTGGAGGATCAGTTGGAGAATGTTGCTTCACTGGACCCAGCCCTACCCTTCCTCCCAGAAAAAGACCTGGCAGTTTTGGAGGACCGTTTTCCGGTATGCTGGTGGTTGCAGATGACTTGACATGTCCTTCTGAAGGGTCCAAGACGGGGTCCATCAACTTCGACTTCAACCCAGGCTTCCCAAGTTGTTCCCTTCAATCATCGCCCCACCAAAAGGACACCCCCTCAATTGGCCCTCGAAGTTGATGTTTGAACCATACAGCACTTAGACGCTACGACCTTCAATAGACTATAACCATGGTAGGCCCACTCATCCCACAAGGCCCGTGTTTTTTTTTCGGTGGGGACGCGGAACCCAAAACGCTTTTTTCCGAGAATCCTATGCCTATTTTGAAGGACCACATATTCCCCTGCAAATTGGCATGGAATCCGAAAAGCTTGATTGTTATAGACTTGACCTTTTTGGTTGAAATATTTTGGGTTTTCTATCAAACCCACAAGAAGTGATTCACTTTTTGCAGAGCGGTCAACAGAAAACAAGCTAAATGGAGGTTCCCAAAAAGGAGGTTCCTCCAAAAAGGACGGTTTTTACAGTACCAGCCATTTTCCTTTTGGTTTTTAAAGGGTGGTTCCCTTGGTTACAGAGTATGTCTTTTTTTGGGGGACCCCCCAAACTGGTCGTTTCCAATATTTTGTTCTATCGGGTAGTTCTGGCCTTGGTTGCCTACTTTATACTAGGTCCCCCAGCTAGGTGCCCTTCTCACCCCTTTTTGGTTGGGAGGATTCCCTACTATAATAGACGACAGAAAAAAGTTGGTACCCTTATCCTAACCTCTCTACTGGAGGACCCCAGTTCACAATGTTGAAACAGATAACATAGTTCGTGCTTGAATTGAAGCCAAGGTGCAGATTGGCCCCATGAATCTGCGCAAAGCGTCTCGTGACATTGGACAGCCATTGGGGGTCTCTGGTATAGGTAAACAGCTCCCTGGGAGGTCTTGGGCGGCCTTTTTTTGGCGCTGGCAGCAGTCCAAGTGCCGCTCAGAGAGAGATCCGATGTCGGGCCGTGACCAGCAAGCCGTCGGACGAAGGGGTCGATTCGCTTCCTTCTTTCTACAAACCACCCAAAACTGTTGGGAAGCAGCTGGTTTTGGAAAAGGACGATGGTTGAAAAGAATGGTTGGAATCAACCCCTAGAATGACCCCGTTGTTCAAGGGTGGAGTCCCCGTGTTCCTTCAAAATGGGGCCATGACCCCGTTCTTACCGGCAATGACCCCCATTTTTGGAGGGTGGAGACTCCAGGTACACAACAGAGTTGTCACAACACAAAGCGTTTTGGTCCGAGGCAGCAATGAATGAGGCTGAACATGCCGATCTGTGTTTTAATGTTAAAGCAACATGTTTGCAGATTCTCCAGATTTAGCCTACCCTACAGGCTAGAACAGTTGTGGCGACGAGGATTCAATTTTGGGGTTGATTCCAACCATTCTTTTCAACCATCGTTCTTTTCAATATCCGGCTGTTTCCCCCTGGGTTTTTGATGGTTTCCTGAAAAGAAGGATCCCTGGAAAGAATGGGGAAGGTACCCCTAGATTCCTGAGTTCCTCAACTTGAGACTTTTTGGGAAGGCCCTTTTAGTGTTAAACAAAGGGTTTGGACTTGTTTTGACCAATCGACTCAGGAAGTTAGAGGAAATGGGTGTGCGCTCTCAGAGCACTCCTCCCCAAAATGTTTCCCTTTCAAGTCTTCCCAAAAAGGGTACCGAGCCTGGAAAACGCACGCACGCACGCACGCACGCGCGCACGCACGCACGCACCCACGCACGCGCACACGCACGCACGCACGCACGCACGCACAAACACACACACACACACACACACACACACACACACACACACACACACACACACACACACACACACACACACACACACACACACACACACACACACACACACACACACACACACACACACACACACACACACACACACACACACACACACACACACACACACACACACACACACACACACACACACACACACACACACACACACACACACACACACACACACACACACACACACACACACACACACACACACACACACACACACACACACACACACTTGAACTCCAGATGGAGAATGCTAATCTTTCGAGTACAACTGATGAGTCTCGAGTACAACCGATGAGTCTCGAGTGGGTGTAGGTTCGGCTTGCAGTCACTTGGTTTCCGTCTAGCAGCGAAAACGTTACAAATTCAACATGAAGCACACACAGCGAGAGAAACAACAGGCCAAAAGGACTTTACATCACCAACTCCAAATGTCGCAGGTACGTCGAGGTGATCAGCCTCGATATCCGCATTTGCTGTGGCCGCTTCGTTGGACCATCGCACACAGCAAACGGATGGTCCCCCTGCTGCGAAACCGAAAGGGTGGTGACAGGGCATTCTGTCACTCCGCACACACACACGCCCCTCTACGAGGGGCGAAGTTTCTCTTTTCTCCTGCAGGAAGATCAAATGCTCACACTCAATTGTCTATCGTTGACCAAAAAATCCTCCACGGCGAGGGGAGCGAGACACCGCCCTGAACCGCTCAGAAGACGGGAACGAAAGATCACCACGTTGAGCATTGCGAGTGTCGCCATAGAGGACTGAAGCGATTTGCGAAGCAGCCGGGCGATCACCTTGAGAAAACGGAGTGGCATAGGTGAATGTCTCCTCAACTGGAACGGCATCGGAGTTTCGAACTCGACCAAGCGTCTGATCATGTGGATCGCGAGTCGTGAATGACTCAATCCGAGACAAGATGCGCTGGTACCCTTGGTGTTGCCAGTCACGGATGTCCCATGCTTGGACTGGTGCGTCGGGCTCAGTCACCCGTCTCCATTCACGAAACGAATTTTCAGGGACATCTGGCAAGGCGTCCCCGCGGTGCCATCGTTGAGGATGTCCTGGAGTGTATATCCGCACCCACTCCTGATCATGCCAGACTGAATATTCAAGCCATGGGTGCTGCTTCGAATCATCGATGTCCATGTCGAGGCAAGAGGCAAGAATTGTCGCGGGCTCCGATCCGGCTAGTAGATAAACAAGCACAATGCACAACCATGTTCAACCAGCAACCAACAACCAAGCAAACTCATGCAAGTGCAAAGATCACCCTTATTTCGTACGCAGCGCTGCTCATGCGAGTCTAGTCTTCAGTGAGCTCGAAGACGGGACTCATCTTGTCTCGGCCACTGTCGGAAGGATTAACGGGCCGGTAGGGGTCGGAGACCCCAATCGTCTCCAATGATGTGCTTCCACGCGATGCACGTACTGGTTGATGAGGATGGGAAGCTAGACGTGCGCGAGCTGTCAGTTGTTGCGAAATCCCTTCCTGGAGACGAGTCAGTTCTTCAGTAGAGAAATCAGCTGCATCCGAGGACCTGAGAATCGCGTCTAACAGCTCTGGCGACATAGTCAATGCCGCAGACTGCGTGGCCACGCTGTGATGATCGGGGGGATACCCTGAGTCAAATTCATGACCAGCGTGAGGGGCAGCGATTCGTCGGTAGCCCTCTGTGGCCCAGTCTCGTTTGTACCACATAGTGACTTGGGCCTGCTCTCCGACTGAGGCCTGGTTGGGTGCATAGAACTCCCTCCACTCTCTAAAAGTGTGCGGAGGAGGTGGATCATCATGTTCTTCTTGCGGCGTCCACGGTCCCGGATGAAAGATCTTGACCCACTGGGCATCTGGTTGTTGAGGGTCCGGGCACCATTCCAGCCACGCCATGACAACACCACCACGGAAAGACAAGTTGATAGGTGTACGGCTGCAGACAACAACAAGTGCAAGCAAGTGAACAATCATAATGCAAAAGACCACTTTTGTGACAATGTGCGGTGCCAGCATCATAGTCTGATTCTCCAGGGAGGCGAGGACGGGCATCAGCTCTCAAGCGAATTAGATGATGCCGAGGAGGAAGTCATTCCAGCATACATGAGGTCCGGTGCGCCCGAAGCAAAAACGGGCCTCGCTATGCTAGGATGTGGACGACCCAGGCGTTGATACCCCCTGGTGACCCAGTCCCTGTAATACCAAGTGTAGAAGGTGGCGTAAGATACCGGTTGCAGAACCGTGCCAGTGGTTGTGCCGCCCGTGCTTTCCCGGGGCCAGTACACTTCGAAGTGGTAGACCTTGCGCCATTCCCGATAGGTGGTCGAGTCATCCGGGGCCGGTCCCAGGGTGTCTGGGGCTACTGGATGCCACTGACCCGGAACATAGATTCGAATCCATTCCACACTCGTTCCTGCTCGACTATGAACGATGTCATAGTCAAAATAACGAGGTAGGTCCCATCGTGCTGCACCCTGCACTGTACTATTGAACATTTCAACCCAACAAGCTGCTCAAAGTTAGCACGGAAAGCGGCGGACACACTGAAACGACATGCACAGCACCAAGCAAGACAACCCAATGTGAGCACACATACAAAGCAAGCACAACCGCATCTTTGTCCAACATGCTGCTCAAGAATCAATCCGACTCATTCCAAGGATCATGGAATGGCGGCGGTGACGGTTCCCGCCACGCCCCATCCGGTACCGACGAGCCCACAGAGGACTCGACGTCCGCATTGACGAGCATCGCGAATCCCATGGATTGTACAGGAGGTCCAAGGCGTTGATAACCTCGTGTTTGCCAGTCCCGGTACTCCCACACGTGATAGGACACATAGGCGCTGGGCGTGGCTATAGGATCCATTGTAGTTCCACCGGTGCTGTCTTCAGACCAGTACACTTGGAAGTGATATGATCTGCGCCACTCCCGATACGTGGAAGCGTACAGTGGGTCAGGAACAGGCGCCTCATCGGGAACGGGCCTCCAAATGCCCGGAGAGTAAATTCGAATCCATTCCACTCCTCTATCGATCTGGTACTCGAAATACTGGGGGTTCATAGCAGCAATACGTGCTTGCACGACTGTTGAACCAATCGAAAGTCTGCGGCAAGGACACACATGCATTGCCAACCGCACATACACACTGAAGAGTGAGGCAACTTTTCAAACACAAGATGAAACGCAGCAACGAGGTCGGAAATGTCAGACTCCTAGCTTTCACTGTCGTTGATGTCGCGCACACCTGCAATGATAGTGACCTGGCCGTCTACGAGCACAAGGGGAAAGACATTTCCGTCCATGGCGCAGGATGGCGTGACAGTAATGCTTGCACGCCGCCGAGGGGGATAGCGATGGACGGCCTGCACGTTTGGAATAAAACACTGTAAAGGGCCGTCGAGATCGCCGCGGCGCCGAAGCTGATGCTGTCCGAGATCGTTTGGACGAGGGCCCTGGACTGCGTGGTTCTTCATCACGGGAGGGGTCACTGCTGTGGATCGAGCGGCGTGTGCGCTGCGATTTCGAAGAGGTAGGACAGGATTGTCCACGATGGGCTGAGATCGTGGGGCTGCGTACCGAGGGCATAAACTGTGGGTGAAGAATCACCGGTGGTGGTGGTGGTGGTGGAGGAGGAGGTGGAAGAAGCAATGGCAAACTTGGCGGGGGCGGAGGTGACGTAGTTAACCGTATGGGTCTGTCGAGTAGAGCCCCGGGTCCATGAAATTGTAACCACGTCGGCTGCGCTCCATGGGTCCAGGTAATGTACGTCTGTACAACTTGTTCCGACATGATTTGAGCAACTCAGGCAAGACATCACTGCATGTCAACGACATTGCACAACACGACAAGCAAGATTGATTCACATGCGAGCAAGCAAATATCATGTGATCAACAACGCGAATCGGACACACCGCCGCTGCGTATCATTTGGTCCATCAATGGTCGTTGCTGCATTTGTCGGGCATGTTGCTAGCCGCGAGCTTCAAGTTGTTGATAGACCTTCCATGCCTGCTTGACTTCCTCAATCGGCTTCTGAAGAAACCGCGCAATGGTCTTATAGGTGGGCTGGAATCTTTATCCTTCTTCCGTCTCACCATTTCATCCAGCTCACCCTGTGTCCATGCCGTGAAAGGTTCACGG